TGGTATGCGGATTCGAACTCGCGACCCTCATGTTGTGAGTCGAGCGCCTTATCCACCTGGCCATGCCGGGCACCAAAAACAGAAGTTGTAAACTGTTCTCATAAACGCATACAAGAACAGTAGATAGAAAACAATTGAGGTGGTAGCAGCCTTTCCTGAATGTTGGAGATGGGAGAGTAAAGAAGAAGAGGGAAAGGAACTCATTCACTCGAGAGTTAGTAAAATATATGTTTAAAGGAAAATTTGCATTTTATTTCAAAATTCGTACAGTTTGTAGGGTCCAAGATGTTGGGTGTTACAACAACAAAGACATCTGATTGGCCAAAATATAATCTTTCAAACCTATTTTCTAACCAATCCTGATTTTTAAAAACTCAAATCAGACAAACCTTTTTAATTAACGGAGACACTAAATTATACTGTTTCTCCGTGTATACATTTCATTTTACACTTTCGTACCTGGACTAACAACAATATCAGGTTATACATTTGTCGTTAAGCAACATAACATAGGAGAAATAATAGAAGATTGTAAATACATTGTATTGTAATTAAGATGTTAAGCTAATATTGCACATCTTGAGTACTATTGCAATGCACCTTATTGTTGTTTATATCCTCTTTTAGAAAGTATAGTCAAATTCGGGGTTCGATCGCGAGGTAGATATAGAGCATATTGTTTGTTTGTTTGTTTGTAATTAAGCACAAAGCTACACAATGGGCTATCTGTGCTCTGCCCACCACAGGTATCGAAACCCGGATTCTAGCGTTGTAAGTCCGCAGGCATACCGCTGTGCCACTGGGAGCATGGAGCATATAGCCCATTGCGCAACTTTGCACTGAAAACACAAACATTACTAGCTGACGTCGAAATGTGTGTTTCATAGCTTGAAGTTTCTTATACTTTCATCAATATTTTTGATGCTTGATGCAAATTACTAGTTTCCGCTTCAGAGTTTAGTATATGACTATCTCAAGAAATGCTTGTTGAAACACCTTTATTAAAGCAGAGGCAATTAAACTTTTTTATATATAATACATTGGTGTTAAGGGTATTATGAATATTGAAAAATTACCAAAACGCACTACAAAATTATAATTTTGGAAGTAATAACCGTTAAAATGTTTTATTTGGACTCACGACTTTGTCTTTGAAAATAGACTATAGATCTCTTACAAGAAAATTAAATGGAAATATATTGATTCTGTCTATTCTCATAAGGAAATAATTATAATTTGATTTTAAATCAATCATACGTATTTCATGATATTAAAAAAATAACATTTTAGTAGAAACAATTATCTGTTTTACTTAAAACAATGACATTGACTGGTGTGTATTCGTAGTATTCAAGCCAAAGTAAGACTTAAAAAATATTATTTAAGATAAAGCACGTAAAATCTTACAATAAATTAATAATATACTTACACGACAGCTGTTATACGTTAAATCATATAAGTGCAAGAGTAATACTCTCCAGAAAAACAAGTGCAATAAGTGGCTTTTTCACATAGAGAAAAGGAATGCATAACCCCTCCGAAAGCATCATAGGTATTGATTTCTTTAATATTAAAATATGAACATACTTTTACTTCGATGTTTGAAATGATTTATTATTTTTTACAAGAAAATATGAATTTGAAATTTCCCTTGAGTCGTTCATGCTACACCAACTGCATGAATATTCCTCAGTTATGAATACTCCTTAGTTATGAATATTACTCAGTTATGAATACTCCTCAGTTATGAATATTCCTCAGTTATGAATATTCCTCAGTCATGAATACTCCTCAGTAATGAATATTCCTTAGTCATAATTATTCCTCTGTTATGAATATCCCTCAGTTATGAATATTCCTCAATTATGAATACTCCTCAGTTATGAATATGTTTCAGTTATGAATATTCCTCAGTCATGAATACTCCTCAGTTATGAATACTTCTCAGTTATGAATATCCCTCAATTATGAATATTCCTCAGTTATGAATATTCCTCAGTTATGAATACTCCTCAGTTATGAATATTCCTCAGTTATGAATACTCCTCAGTTATGAATACTTCTCAGTTATGAATATCCCTCAATTATGAATATTCCTCAGTCATGAATATTCCTCAGTTATGAATATTCCTCAGTTATGAATACTCCTCAGTTATGAATATTCCTCAGTTATGAATACTCCTCAGTTATGAATATTCCTCAGTCATGAATATCCCTCAGTTATGAATATCCCTCAGTCATGAATATTCCTCAGTTATGAATACTTCTCAGTTATGAATATTCCTCAGTCATGAATATCCCTCAGTTATGAATATCCCTCAGTTATGAATATTCCTCAATTATGCTGCAATATTTGTAAGATCATCGAAACAAATAGTATATTTTAACATTATAATAGAATTGTTCATGATCTCAGAAAAACATGTAGGTTCAAGAAATCGTAATATAAAACCATAGGGTTTTTATTTATTATGCATTAAACTGTGTATCATTTCTCACATCAAGTTAAATAAGAGCCATTTTATCGATTGATCGAAATATAAGTAAATATCACGTCTTTCCAACCATTTCTGCCCCCCTCCCCCCAGTGGCACAGCGGTATGTCTGCGGACTTACTACGCTAGAAACCGGGTTTCGATACCCGTGGTGGGCAGAGCATAGGTAGCCCATTGTGTAGCTTTGTGCATAACTTCAAACAAACAAACAAACCACTTCTCTCCTTCCTTTTGGCAAATATCAATTACGTGGAAATCATTCAAGGTACTTATAAAAATACACTAGTAAGCTTTACAGAACGTTATAGGACTACCATTACCATTGATAAGAAATGTTACTTTTTCTTAACTATTAGGGTTATTTTAATATTTGGAAGATTACCCTGAAACTAAATAAAGAAGCTTATACAAATGCTTTCTGGAAACAAAACATTTCATCATCATCGATCCTCTCTTATAAATGCATGCAAAAGAAGTTCTTACATGAAGCTAGAAAATTTACAATCTACAATAATTCTTTTTATCTATTACTACACGAACTGTAAACTATATGATAAGAACTGGATATCTGGACAGGTAAACTTTGAAATGTAAAACGGTTAGCTCGCAGTTGTCAAACTGGCAACTTTAGTCATAGGATCTTTGGTTTCCGTTAATTAACAATAAGCATTATAACGTGCTTAGCAATTGTCTGGATATTATATACTAAATGCCATAAGTTTGTTTGTTATGGATTTCGCGCAAAGCTACACGAGGGCTATCTG